AATTTCATTAGTTAGCTTTTTAAATGATTCGGGTTTTAGGCTTTGAATGGATGACAAGTAACGATAGAAGTTTTCACGCCGATAACAATATGCCGCCTTGTAAAATATGCCGAAGACAGATTTCCCAAAAGGACTCATTTGTTTTGTGATGTGATAACAGCAAAATGAATGATGCGCCTCGGGAAACACTATTGGGACAGAACATATGATAGACTCATGTCTATCCGATACGATGAGGAGGTTATCAGGACAACCATAGGCCCTTTTCAATTGAGTCAAAAACCAACTCCAAGTCTCACGACGCTCTACATCACCAATGCCAACTGCGAGGGGAAAGATTTGGTGATTCCCGTCCAATGTGGCTGCAACAAACATAATGCCCTTGTATTTTCCCTTCAAGTGGGTACCATCTATCACGATTACCGGGACACCAGCTAGTTGAAAGCCCTCAATGCTAGCTCCTAGAGCAAAGAACAAGTGTTGGAATACCTTGCCATCTCGTTGCAGTTCGACAATTGTACCTGGATTACGAACCTGCAACATGTGCAAGTAACCGGGAAGCCGCCCCCATGATTCTTCATGACCTCCATAAACTTTTTCAAAAGCACGGTGTCTTGCTCGGAGGGACACATTGTAGCTGATCGACAAACCATGCTCCTCCCGCATTTGTTCAATAATTCTCCGTGTAGATACCGTCTAGGGATTTGTCTGAATAGTTGGTGCGTAAATATGAGCGTGAACCTTGGAATTAGCCGAACAATGTCGATTGTGCGTCAAACTCCCTTCACATGTATGCTCGAATTTCAAAGTAGTGATTCTCCATACATCTCGCTTTGCCCTTGCACATAACTTGTAAGAACACCCTTCATACCGACAAACAGATAGTAACCTAGAAGTGCAGGATTTGGGTGTTCGACACTCAACTTTTTGTTGCAAGTGATACATTTGGATGACACAAATCAACTCTTCTTTCGAAAGAAAGACAGACCCCAAATATAATTCTATATTGTTCGAAGGTAAGTGGATGGGTTGTCTATCTGATCCAGTTGTCGTGGGCGGCATAAGAAGGAACCACATTCATGGCTCAAAGTTGGATTGTCGGGTGCTACCTCAATTCATATATGCTAGACTTTCAACCTCAATATGGTCGGTGATTAATCTTAGCTCTTCAATATGCTCGCTATACCACGCCCTGAAAAGCTTGAACATTTGCTTCTCATGGACCTCTTTGTCTTCGTCGCTGAGTCACCATTGTGCGTGTTGGTTGGTCATCATTATTGTCATCGTCACGAGAATGACCTGGTTGGTTCGAACAACCCGCGGTTTCATCATCAGCGCCCCGAGAATATCCAGTATGTATGTGTAAATGAACTAGGGCCTGCTTGATGTGAATATGGAGCCTCGTGGGAAAATGCAGAACTACCAACACCAAAAGAACTCGGAAATACACCTTGGAATGCCATCATTTGCGTGAGGCTTTGTTGCGCCGTCTCCGGTATCCCTACATTTACTCGCTTCTCCAACTACACGTAAATTTTGGGAGGTTTTTGTTCTTCAATCAACACTAAGATATCCTCACTGGATTCAATTTTCATCTTCACATTTCGTTCCCTTCCATCAAATACTGCCCACAATATGTACTCAAAATTACAAGGATCGGCCTTCAACAATGCTTGAACACAAGAAACTACTTCAGAATACATTTGTCGGCCGTAATTTATTCTCATCAGCTCTGCCACTCCACCAAGATATGAACCCCCGGAAAACGTACCACCATAGCTCACGCATACTCTAACACGGGTGCTAGCCATTCAAATAAGTGAACAACAAAAGGAATTAAAACGAAAGAAACAGAAAATTGCAGTAGAGAAGAATGGTGCAGACGTTGAATTGTTAGAGATCACTGTTTTTTTGTCTGCATGATAAATGCACAGACAAAATCCTCACTTGTGAAAAAGTAGTCAATTAATGAGGTGCGTAACTTATGCGACAGATATGCGATCAAATTCTGAATAGTCGTAAAATTTCCATGACAATATGGCCCTGCGAAAAAATGGCGCGTAATCGTCAATTAAATTATGCTTTATTTGATTTTGTTATGCAATTCTTTAATATGCGAGCGAAAAAATGTCGCATCATTGTTGATGGGTCTATCCTCGGATCTGGGGTGAACCGGTGGAAAATCGCCCGGATCTGGAATGAACCGATGAGAACGAGCTCAGATCTGTCTTGATGGTCTCCAAATTGCTATCGAACTGCGAGAACACCTGCAAGAACTCAACGCCGGAGGGATTTTCGGCGTAGAGCCTCCGACGCTCAAGTCAGTATGTGAAAAGAGTGAAAAGAGCTGCTCTGAGGAAGCAGCAACAATGGAGGAGAATGTGGAATGAATGGGAGTTAGGGTCTTGGAGTTACCTCAGCTCCTTTATATATAGAAATGGAACATTTACCTGAAGTCCCCAAAATGCTCCGGCCAACTTACTGGAAATGTCCAAACTACCCCGGTCGGTTCGCATTCCGTCCATTTCCTAGTCAGCTTTTAGATCCTTCTTTATCCTTAGCTTCCCTTCGATATGCTGAAGTGTATTACAGCTGTCGAGATTTATGGGCTTCCAGACCTCTTCAGTCGACTTGATCCAATCAACTCGAGTCGACTGGGTCATACTCAATCGCTAATGGATCCTGATATGCTTTTGACTGTCGCCTCGCAGGAAATCGACTTATACTAGTCGACATGTAGGAGTCGACCGGAGGGTATTTGGACCACTAATTGGAGATATTCTAGGGTATATGATGAGAGAGTCAGCTTTGGCTAAGTCGACTCGGTAATTCTGGAACCCTTATAGTGTAAACCGTTATACGACAGTATGGCTATATCATCTAGTCCCCCCCAAAAATTACTCGAAGCGACTCTGAGCTTACGAGTAAATTTTATCGACTGAGTGTCCCACTCGAATCTTTTCATATATCATGTCACCTGTCTTTGCTCTATGCCATGTCTACTCATTATTTCGACTCGTAAAGTGACTTGTTTATCCAATCAGATTTCGAATTGGTTGAATAAGTCTGAATCTTTTCAAATTTCAAAATTCAAAAATGGGGTCTTGAGCTTTGATAAGACGCTTTCTCTTTCCACCACTTCGTATTCCGTGCGCCATCTCATCCATTGAATCTGCGTTTAATCTGAGGGCTAGGGTTTCTTCCACTTCTCCTATAAGTATTCTCCCCCTTTTCTCTTCTTCACTTTTCGCACTCAATCTTTCTGAACTCTCCTTCTCCGGCAAACACAGCATTCTCAAGCTTTTCGGCGCTCTTTTCTCATTCAGGCGTTCTAACATCAACCACCATGAGTATGAGTAAGTTCTCTTTGCCTTTCGATTTACTGTTATGTGCGATTTTTTTTTTTTCTCTCTTTTTTGCTTTCTGGGCGCTGTGCTTGGATTTTTGCATGTTCATCAGATTTTCTGGGTATTTTTATGCGAATTTCTGGCGATTGTGTTTTTAGATCTTAGATCGCAAACTTTTCATCTCTTCAAGTGTTTTTATTTGTCAGTTATCTTGGATTTAACTTTCCCTTCTTTTTTATGAATTAATATGCCATCGACTTGGACTTCATTTGTCAAGTCGAGTCGAAATGAGAAATACTTTCCCTGTTTCTTCTTCCCTGTCTTGTCGTCGACTAGATTCTCGTGGCTTTCTGGTCATTTTGTTGACCCTAACCTTTTTGAATCGAATCACGGTCGTGTTTTCCAATATCTATTGATTGTCGCTCTTTCTTTTTCTTTTTAGATTCCAACCTCGACCCTGTTTCTGATCCCGTGTCTGGTTCTCTTGCCCGTGAAATTGATGACTATTCGGGTTCGGACTCTGTCTACCTAACCGATGTCGGACCATGTTTTCATCAAAACGTCGAGCCAGAGGGCTCTGTTAACTCCAATGCCTCATCCTTTGGTATCGATTGGGCTGTGTACAATCAGGCATTGCTTTCAGGCACACTTTGTGAGGATCCTGAAATTCTTCGAGCTTTTGAATCTTCTTGCCTCGACTCGATTCCTCGAGGTATTCTCCGCTAGGTTCTTCTAGTCATCCTCATATATGCGACAAGCCTTGTTCCTTTACTGATAATGACTCCCCTTAATCGAGTCTATAACTATAGCATGTTCCGTGGTAAAGTTCTTACTATCGTTTTCTTATGCTCCTGCAGCCGAAATCGATGGCTTCAGAGAGTTCAGCGGCCTTCCCTCTGATTGGGCTTTAGTTGCTGCTAAACCCGAAGACGACTTCCGTCGCCCTCCTAAGGGCTGTTTTACTTTTTTCGTGGATCAAATAATGTCGGGCTTGCGTTTCCCAATTCAACCTGAGTTACTGTCGTTAAGTAACCTTTTCGATGTACCAATAAATCAATTCACCCCCAATTCCATTCGAATAATGGTAGCTTTCATAGTTGTTACCCGCGTAGTTTTAGGTGATTTTCTACCCGAGTTTTTTCTTTACTGCTACGGGTATAGGTTTAGCAAGGACACCCATTGTCTGGGTCGTCGAGTAGGCGTTACCTTCCTTGACGACCTTTCTTCCAATATTACCGAATGGAAGAAGAAGTATTTCTTTATTCGACTTGCCCCTGGCCAATATCCTTTCTCGAATGAGTGGATTACCAGCAAACCAAAGCAACATAAACGCCCCGACTCCTCGCTGTTCGCGGATATGTTATAAGAATTAAATAAACATGTGTGGAGCGCTCGTCAGTTGACTAAAGATAGTTCCTTACTTAATCATGTTGGTATTTGTGTCGACAAAAGTGTTCTTCGGCTTGACGACCCTTGTAAGCTTCTTTGTTTATCGGCCTTTGTCTCCGATTTGTTTATTGGTTGTTTTGCAACACCCCGCTATTTTTAATACATCAGAGTGCGCGATTTTTCGCAAATTTTCTGAATAATTAAATAAAATACTAATTTTTGCGAAAACTGATCGGGATGCTACCGTGAAAAACTTGATTTTCTGAAAACCGTTAAAATTTTTAAACTGATAAATAAAACGGTCATAATATCTTATCCGACAAACATCGGAACAAAGTCTGATAAAAAGTACTGAAAAGATTTAGCGGAAGTCTAGCGTGGCAAATCATAAGTACAATAAACATAAATGTCCTGAACAGCT